ACACTTGAAAGAAGGGCAGTGTGCTTGCTGTACGTACACATGTCTTCAAAACGAGCCCCTCGTTGTGGTCCCTTCCCAGCAATTACTGCCCTTAAACTCCCCCTATGGGGCAATCCCAATTTGTCAAGGGCTGTGAACACACACATAGTGCGGAGCAAAGAATTTTGTATTTGGGGGTTAAAGCAGCTTCAAAAAAGGTGACATTTGAGGAATGGAAGAGCTTTCTGGGCAGAGATAAGGCATGTAATGAGAAAAATATCAGCGGTTACATGCAGGAGCAGGCAGGTAAGAGACGAGGGAAGGAGGGAGAACAGGAGGTGGGTGGGGAGGGTTGGCACCCGCCCTATAGATGGTGGCAGCCCTGCTTAGCACAGCGGACAACTGACACACTGGAATGCAGATCCAATGTTACCAGAACTTCTGATTTCCTAAAGGAAGATGGAAATCCAGGGTGTTATGTAAATTCTCTGGATTTACACCCCCCCCTCTATTTGGGGCATCTGAATCCAAATTAATATAACCATAATGTGGGCCCAACAGACCTGCCTTCAAGGAACATTGGGCTTGAAGATGGCAAGTCAGCTAGGATGGCTGGAGCTCCCCGTGACTTGGAGAGCCTGGTTGGAGCCGAAATTGAGAAGTTTGGGGAATCTGTCTGAAAAGAAGCAAGCCTGCAGTCAAAGGTGTTGGGACTTCCTTCTCTGGCATTTAATGGGAGAGGTGTTACATAAGAAACTTATACGGGGAGTAAAACGATTAGATTTGCACATAGGGAAGATCCGTGTCCTGGAAGGTGGGTATTAGGGCCCATTGGAAGACCTTGGTGATAAATCCTGTAAGAGAAAGGCCGAAAGGACCTAAAGAGACTGGCAGAAGTAAGGAGGGGAGAGAATAGATCCAAGAGATATTTTATTTTTTTAAAGATGTATTTTATTTATTTATGTATACAAGAACTAGGGTCTAGGCCAGAGGTGTGGGGGGTGAGAGGATTCACCAGAGACAGAGTGGGGAGCAGAACAGGCAGACTGACCAAAGCACACTGCTGAGGGGAGCAGCAGGCAAGCCAGGAGAGGTCTGCTGTGCATGTGGGTCACCTCCCTGGCCAAGGATCAAACTCATGCCGCAGTGGCTGCTGATAGCTTGATAGCACTGAGACTTTAACCCCTGTGCCATCAGGGTGGCTCCAAGAGATATTTTAAGGTACAGTGAGTGACTACATGAATAGATGGCAGTGTGGGGGAACTGTGGGCACCAGGCACAGGCAAAGGAGGTGTCAAGGAAAAGTACTTGTGGTGATAATCTCTCACTAAGTTTTGGTGGGCATGGGGACAGTGGATGTGTGGGGCGAAGTACAAAAGATAACAAAAGAGCACACGGGCCCAGGATTGCTCAACTTTGGCGCCTTTGTCATTTTCAGTCGGATAATGCTTTGTGGTAGGGGGCTGCCCTGTGCATTGCAGGATGTTCAGCAACCCTGACCCCTCCCCGCTATCTGCCAATATAATGCCTTTCCAACCCCGAGTCATGACAATGTAAATGTCACCTGGGGAGGCAAAACTGTCCCAGTTGGGGACCACTGCTATAGATTCAGGAGGAGGGAAATTCCCTGTGTCCTATTTCTTTTTTTCTTTACACTGCAGTGGCATGTGGAGCTGATTGGTGTTTTGCTTAGTAAAAAGTAGAGGACCCTTGGAGAGATTCTTGCTGAAGTGCCAGAATTCTCAGCTAAGCTCAATGTTTGTGACTTTTTTTTAAATTTAATAAATAGCCCATTTTATTTTTTTTGTTCTCACTTTTTTTTATTTTATATATTTCTTACATCATTTTTCATTTTTGCACAATGTAGGCATTTTCATCTTGGTTATAGTCCCCATACAATTGCACCCCCCTTATTTTCACCCCAATCCCTACTCTCCCCGCCCCCCACCCCTGTAGTGTGTCTCTGGTTTATAGTTGCTTGTTGATTTTGATTTTTTCTTTTATGAATTCAAGAGGTTGTCTCTAATTAACCGGGACAAGATATGAACTTGGATGGAGGGACATCATTCTTTCCTTCCAGATATTTTCTTTTTGGGGCCCTTTTCTTGCTCCACTTGCAGATGAGGAGAAACCCTTAGGGAGAAGTAGAGCAGCAGTGCAGTCCAAACTCCAACCACCCCAGACCACGGAAAAGAGACAGGTCTTGTGTTGACTCACACACAAGGCATCAGGGCTCAATGAATGAAGGGTTAAAGCTCAATTTGATGTTGACTCATGACTTTGATTACACAAAGTCAAAAATGAGAGTTCTTTGTTTATTGCACTTCTTGGAAAGCCTTCCATTTGTCTTCATCTCCCAGCAGACCAGAACAGTGGCCTAATTCAATCCAAGATGCTCTTTGCGTAAAAGCACACAAAAATTACAAATAAAAGTTTGATGTTGAAGAAACAACATTCCAAACCCTCTCATCCCCTTCCAAAAAAAACATTTTTAAAAAAAATAAGTTGCTTGATGTTTAGGGTAGAAAAGTGGAATTGACTAACAGCTTTATAGACTTTCTCCTCACAATGTTCAAATTCTCTGGGCCATTTCTGGCCATTAATAACAAGTTGTGTGTCTTATTTTTTTTAATCATGTGTTGCCATTACTCTTTATGTCATTAAGCACTCACTCAGTCTATGCCAGACAGTGCCTCCCATGGCACTCAGCCAGTCCCGGGGGCTCCTGGTCCTGCTGGAGACGCCTTAGAAGGCAGATGACACAGTCATTTTGGAAATGTTATTATAAACGTGTTGTATAATGTTTATAGCAAATGTCAACAAGTATATATGTGTGTGGTGATGGCGCGGGGAGATCTTAGGTTAGACAGAGGATGGAATATTTGCAGAGGGATTTGGAAACAACTGTAATACCTCTCAGTATTACAGGCTTGGAGAGTTTATGCTGTTTTCATAAAGAGCATTTTGCTCAATATTATATGCAGGCAAGGATTTTATTATGAACCTTGAAAGGCAAGACTCATCATCTCAACATTCAGTTCAGGCAGGCGAGCCTCCTGGAAGCTTCCCTTGTCCCTTCTTTCATAAAGTTCCCCTTATTTGTATCCTGCCAGTCCTTGTTCTTGCCTTCTGAATAGCCCCTCACACTGGTTGCAGCTCTTTACTGGCAGAGCCATCTTTTAATGAGTGTCTGGTACAGTTCCTGAAAGGACAGTAAATATTTATTGAACTTGAGGGCCTTAATTCCCAGAGTGTGGCTTTTGTTTTGGATAGATTAAACATCCCCTTGCCCTTTGGGTAATCTCTACACTAGGTACTGATAAAAATCAGCAATTTTATTGCTCTAGTTTTCGCAGCTGATTTTCATCTATGTGGTATGTTGGTTTACTTTGATCAAAATACATTTTAGTTAGTGGGGGGGTCATCATTCCTCCAAACATAACTTTTTTGTGGGGGGGGGGGTGTTGACAGAGCAATGTTACCTTCCAATGACGTTTATGTCCTAATCTCAGACAATGGTGAATATGTCACCTTATATGGCAAAAGTGACTTTGCAGATGTGATTGAATGAATGATTTTGAAACAGGGGTACTGTCATGTTTTATCTGGTAGGTCCAATCTAATCACAAGGATCCTTATAAGTAAAAAGGGGAGACAAGGGGTACAGTCAAGGAAGCCACTTAATAAGGGAAGCAGAGGTCTGAGTGGTGCAGCCACAAGCCAAGGAATGTGGGCAGGTGCTAGAAGCTGGAAAAGGCAGGAACACATTCTCCTTGGAACCACTGCAAGGAGCTCGCTTGATTTTAGCTCCGTGTGACTTCTTTTTTTTTTTAAGATTTATTTATTTTATGCATATAAGAGCTGGGGTACAGGCCAGAGGTGTGTGTGTGGGGGGGTGGGGGCGGGGAGGGGTGAGAGGATTCACCAGAGACAGAGTGGGGAGCAGAACAGGCCGACTAACTGAAATACACTGCTGAGGGGAGCAGCGGGGAGTCAGGAGAGGTCTGCTGTGCCATGTGGGTTGCTTCTTGGGGAGGAGAGAGGGAGGGGCTCCGGATGGAACTGGTGCTGCAGTGGCTGCGAACAGCTTCATAGATTGCGTCTTAACCCCTTGCGCCACCAGGGTAGCCCAGCTCCGTGTGACTTCTGACCTCAGAAATGTACTATAATAACACCGCTGCTGTTTTAAGTCATTAAATGTGGGGCGATTTGTTACAGCAATAGGAAACTAATGAGGGTTCCGTTTTCCTCCATCTCCAGTCTCACTGACTCATAGTCACTCACTTTCTGTTTTCAATGTGTATCGTTCTGACTCACCTGCATCCTCTCACTACAGAGCCAAGAAAAAGAAATATGTAAAAAGTTGGTTGTGTGCTTCTAACAACTCAAGCGCACGGTATGGCTCTGTCCCTCGTATTTCAAATGCTTTTCCCGTCCCTCTCCTCCAACAGTATGTTTTCGCCAGCTGTCAACCACTTACTGTCCCCTCTTTGGTTTTCCCGGAGGTTGGGCTGGGATCTCGAACCGAACCCCGGCGTCAGCGTTTAGGAGACCAGAACTCAGAGGAAGCCGCATCTCCAAGACGCCCCGGCCAAGGCCAAGGTTCTTTCCGCAGACTGGCCCTGCCCTGGTGCCCGCCGGTCTGCACGTCCCCGGCCCCGCCGGTCTGCACGGCCGCTCGGGCTCGCTCCGGCGCGTGAAGGGCGGGGACCGGGCCGCGACGTGCTGGAGGAAGTTGTCGGGGGCCGGACACTGGACTCGGGGTGGGGGTGGGGGTGGGGGTGCCAGGTGTCGCGCCCGCGGAGCCACAGCCTCCGAGCCCCGCCCCAGCCCGCACGCTCCCAGGCGGGGGTTACCTGCGGCGGGAGGGGCGGGGCGGGGCGGAGCGGGGCGGGGCGGCCCTTCCCGTCTGCGCCGGCCCCCAGCCTGCGGGGCGAGGGAGCCGGGAAGTGGGAGAGGGAACGAGGGAGGCGGAGACTGCCGAGGCTCCAGCCCGGCGGGGCTCCGAGGCGAGGGGCTGCATGGAGCGGCCGGCGCGGCTCTGCGCGCTGGGGGCGCTGCTGCTGTGCGCCGGCGGCGGCGCCGAGCCCACCCGTGAGTGCGACCGGTCGGGATCCCGGGGCGGCGGTCGAGGGGGCGGCGGGGGTCGCGGCGGAGAGGCCCGCCAGGGCGCCGCCGGGTCGCAGCCGCGGTGGGGACGGACGCCAGGGACAGTCCTCACGCCGCCCTGCCCGGCGCTGGGCGCTTCCCCAGCCCGCTTCGAAGTGGGGGACCCAGGGGCGGCGGGGCTTCCTGGGGTCCCGGGGGGCGGCGGGGCCGAAGGACTGCTGGCGGCCACACTTCCCCTGCGCGCTCGGGAAGAGCCGGGGAGCCTGGCGCCAGGGCCGCAGGGCCGAAACCGAGCCGTGGCGTCGGAGGGCGGCGGGTCGGGACCCCGACTGTCGCCTGAGCGCCCGGAGGGGATGCGGGGCCGGGAGCCGGGGCGGCAACTGAGTTGGGGCGAGCCGGGAACGCACCAGGACTCCTTGCCCAGGACTGCATGGGTCCGGGGAGGAGGGTGGGAGTTACAGGGAACCCCTAAAGATCCTAATCCTTGTAGGAAGAGGACGTGAGAGTCACGGCCTACTCTGGCGTGCAAGAAATCCGTCGGGAAGCCGGGAGCAGTATCCGGCGGATGCCTCCCCCTCTCTTTAATACCCTTTCTATTATTTTGGAATCCTTTTCGATTTACAGAAAACTTGCAAAGATAGTAAAACCAGGCGGAGTATACCTCTCACCCTCTGTGGCAACTTACATTTAAGCAACTCGGTAGAGTTATTGTGAAAACTTGGGGCCTAGTGACTTCCTCACGGACAGCTCGTGAATTGCGTGGCTTTTTGGACATTTTGGCTTTTGGTGACGAGCATAGCCCCAGATTTTATAGGGCTTACTATCACATTGACACCAACACCCACAATTTTCGGATTGCGTTTTCACCAGTGTGTTGCGCTTTGAAATGCTCCTTGAAGTCATTGGGAAACCTTGGTGCCCTCTATTGATTCAGTCAACAAAACATGTGCCACCTGCTCTGTGCCAGGCAGTGCTCTAGCGGCTGAGGACTCAGTGTTGAGAATCAGATCACCTCCTTGCCTTGCCGAATTTGTTTGCTCCTGGTAGACTCAGAGAGGGAAAAAAAAAAGTAACATATAAGGTATGTCAGATGGTGCTAAGTTCAATGGTGAAAAGCCAAAGCTGGGGTTGCCACTGTAGAAGGGATGGGGCAGAAAGACCTCACTGACAAGGCAGCGTTTGAATAGAGACCTGAGGGAGAGTTGGAATTTTCAGCCAATAATTATTGAAGGGCCTGCCTTGCTCAGTCCTGGGTCAGGCTCTGGAGTTCCCTAGCTCCTCGGTGTGTATTGGGTGATCCTTGTTGCCCCCGTGCCTCTAGTTCAGATGGGAAGAGCCGATCGCAATAAGCATATGGGGAAACTGCAGTCCAGACAAGGGAAGGGAAGGGACTTGTCTAGGATCACCCATCTCAGTCTCGGATTTTCACAGTACCAGTCCAGTACCCTTCCTCCCACAGATCTCCTCCCCCACACACCTGAAACAACAGCTGCCCTGCAGACAAGGATGGCAACTCCCAACTTAATCAGCTTGGTAGCTGTGGTTCTTGGTAACTTGATTATTTAGACTGCAGCCACTTTTTTCACTATTACAAATGCTGATAGAATTGCGCTGAGGTATGGTAAAGGAAAAAAGAAAAACAGGGGACTGGAGTCTCAGTGATCTGACATGTTCCTGCTGTGGGACTTTGGACTAGTCATTTCCCTCCCTTATGTGGCAATTTTCTCATCCCTGAAAGGAGGAGGTTAAACTCTACCTTTGAAAGGCCTTTCCAGCTCTTCCAAGTGTTTGGAAAAAACAATTAGGTTCTCAGCTCAGTTTCGTCAGCTTGGGTGGGTAAGCCCGCATTGTGCATGTCTTAGTAACAAGTAGCACTTAATGTAATGTTTATGCCAGGCAGTGTGCTACGTTTTTCACTTAATCTTCACACACAGCCTCTCCTGTAGGTGCTGTTTTAAGCCCCATTTTTTGGACAGGCACAGTTCAGAGATAGGGTGGGGTCGATTCTAGACCACTGTGGGGAAGCAAATAGCACAACTAAAGCAAGACCCATGAAATATTTGGTTTTCCAGTGTTAAAGTATTGTTTACACTACGTGGTAGTTTGCTAAATGGTGTGCTGTAGCATATGTCTTTAAAAATGTACGTATCTGCATTAAATGTGACATAGAGACGCGACAGTAGATTTGATGGACTCAGGGTCGCCACAGACCTTCAATGTGTAAAAAAAAAAAATGAATAACATCTGCTCAGCGTGATAAAGCAAGCGCACTAGCATGAGGTATGCCTTTATATGAGAAAGCTGAGGCACGGTGCGGTTTAAGACCCTTCCTGAAGTCTCAGAGCTGGTAGAGTGGAGGAGCCCGGCTTCTGCTCCGGCAGCCTGAGTCCACAGACCTTGCTCCGGACCTCTGCATTCAGTGCCTCTGGAGCAGTGAGGGGAATCCTTGGCTGGGAGAGGAGCTGGGCACCTCTGAGCCTAGTTGCACAGGACTGGCTGGCACCCATGAAAGTGCATACAGACCATTGTTATGAAGCAAATGATCATGTATTGGAGACTGGCTTTATCATTGCCAGACTGTGTGGTTCAAACAGTTACATAGGCGTTCAGAGGAGAGGAAATGCTGAGGGCTGGTAATTCCAGGAAGAGGTAAAACTTGAGCTTGACCTTCAGGATGGGTGGAACTTGAGTAGGTGAAGGGGTTCTTCCCAGTGGGGGGAGTAGCAGCAGCAGAGACTCAGAACTGAGCATGAGTGTGCTTTTCTGGGTCAGCCAGGGTCCCTGCTTGGCTGGAGGGAGCTTTGGCAAACTTCACTTGCCTTTGAAGGGGCAGGTTGGGGCGTAGCCTAGAAGGGAGATGACAGTGGAGGAGAAGTGAGCTGGGGAGACTTGACTAGGAAAGGGAAATCGCTGGAGTTTGAAGCTTTGCAGGATTCTAGGGTTGAAGGTCTCCACTAGAAAGTTGTATTGTGAATCGCTTTTGTCCAGAGCCATGACTTACTGGTATCTGCTTGCCTGGGGGTCCAGCAGAACACATTAGTGTGATTAGGGTGATTAAGAGACATGTTGCAAGTGAAAATGGACAGAGGGTGATTACTGAGTAGATGAAGGGAAGGAGATGGATGATTCATATGTGATTCTTGCGGTTTCCTTAACTTTTCCCGAAATGTGTCTGCCTCTGCCTCTGCCTCTGCCTCTGTGTTTGAACAGGAGGGAGCAAAAACTATTAGCTAGGCAACTTGCCTTAGTATTAGAAGAGCAATGATTATGTCAGCTCCCAGCTAGAGCAGGATACTGCGCAAGATGACCAGACTCACTCAACGTTTGAAGTTTATTTTTCTTTAATTTTTAATTTTTTAAAAAGATTTATTTATTTATGCATACAAGAGCTGGAGCACAGGCCAGAGGTGTGGGGGATGAGAGGATTCACCAGAGACAGAGTGGGGAGCAGAACAGGCAGACTGACTGAAATACACTGCTGAGGAGAGCAGCAGGCAAGACAGGAGAGGTCTGCTGCGCCATGTGGGTAACTCTCTGGCAGGCCAGGGATGGAACTCGTGCTGCAGAGGCTGCAGATAGCTTCACAGTGCTGTGTTTAACCCCTTGCGCCACCAGGGAGGCCTAATTTTTAATTTTTTAAATTGAGGCAACATTGATTTACACCACTGTGTCTGATTTAGAGGTAGAGGATTACACCTCTTCAGGTGTATGTTACCACACCCACCAGCAAGGTACCCACAGCCCTCCACCATAGTTTTGAAGTTTAATTGGGGGAGCTATTGAGTTCTTCTCACCTTCTTGCTCTCCTTTCCAAAGTTAGTAATCAGCTCCTAAAAATGGGCAAAATTAAATGCCTAAGGAAAACTTATCAGTCAGAAGGGACACTTATTCTATCTCAAAGATTATAAAGCAATTCCATAGAAAACTAAAACAACAGTTTAGAACTCTTTTGTCTATTCGAAAAGAAAGAAAACAAATAGCTAACATTTATGTAGCACTAGCTCCGCACCAGGCACCAGTCTCAGCATTCTATCTGTATTAACTCATTTAGCCTTCACAATAACCCTATATTTGATGGATTATTGTTGACATTTTTTATGTCATAAATGAGAAAACGGAGGCAGAGAGATTTCAAGTGACTTGCCAGCTGCACGTAGTAGCAGAGCTGGGGCATGTAGGCAGGCAGTCTGATTCCAGAGCCTGCGGGTGGCATGACTACCTATGGTGAAATGACTTATCTTACGTATGGGGAGCTGTAGAAGACCTTCACAAGAAGCACAGGCTCCACTTATTCATGTGTATATCTGGAATGTTATACATATAAACACATTTCATATATATTTTAACGTCCCTAGACTGTGTTTAACATTTCAGAGTGAGAAAGATTGTGTGTGTGTGTGTGTGTGTGTGTTTTGAACTATAGGAAGTAGAAAAATCTCAAGAGAAATGGGAGGAAGCACTAGAGGAAAAAAAAAGAATGGCAGATAGCCACAAGTTGTCTGAAATATAAACTAATTAGAAGATCTCACTAAAGGATATTTCAGAACAGATGGAGAAGAAAAATTAAACCCATATGGGAGATCAGAAATAGGGCAAGTTATTGTTCTATTAAAACACTGAGGCTAAATAAAGATTTTTAAAGATCTCAAATTGCCTTAAAAGTTGGGGTGTGATTTAAATGATCCATAAATAGGTAATATTTTTCTTTTCAGGGCTTTAATTTCTTATGGGAGTGGGAGGTGGGTGGGAAGGTGGAGTGTCAAGTGCTGAAGGATCCTGGAGTTTTTGCTACAGTGTGTTTCTGGAAACTGCAGAGTAAGGCAGGTTATCCTAAAGTAGATTATAGTCTTTTGTAAGAACAATGTCTTTATTAGAGCCTCTACACCTGACAAATGATTTGTCCTCAAAAATGTCATCGATGGAATGTGAGAAAGGCCAAAGACGGGATGAATATGAACTTCTGTAGGCTGTCGTGTATAAAGCTGACTGTTAGGGAGAGCCTGTGGGGTTGATGTTTTGGACAAATGCAATTTTTTTTTGTTCACTTAATAGGGAAGGTACTACTGAGTTTTGGCATAGAGTATAAACTGTAACTATTGATGAACTCAATTCATTCATTAATTAAGCCCTTAAAAGTAATTAATGTTTGCCACTTTACACAATTTAGAGAGATTGTATTTTTTAAATTACTTTAATAAGCTATTTTGGAATAATTTTTGATTAACAGAAAAGTCACAAGGGTAGAACAGAGAATTCCTATGTACCCCCTCCCAGTTTCTGGGGGACAATTTGGTAGTCCTGGTCTCCGAAATTCTCAGGTAGCTTCCAAATGAAGTTTCCTTCCCCCACCTTCTTGTCTTTCCCTGAATTTGGCAGAAGCGTTAAAAGATCTTTCCCTGATCTTCCAGCGGGGTCCAAAATAATAGATTCAGTAACTGTATAGTGGAGACAGGTGGGTTTTCTCTAAATGAAGCACACTTTTAAGACACTGGTTCACAGTTTCTCTTTTTTCCTTTTCCTTTTCAGAGTAGTTTAAACCACACTTCCACATGTTTAGCATCAGACCTCAGGGGAGCAACAAAGGCTGTTAAATCTTTCCCAGTACTTCTTGGGAAAAGTTATAAAAACAATAACCAGGTCAACTTAGCAAGCATAATTAAAGCAGAGCTGCGTAAACTCACTCGCAGAACTGCAGACATTGAAGAGATTGTATCAAGGGAGAAGTGGACCCCCAGTGTAGAGAACCCCAGGAAGAAGACTTAGAAATTTCAGAATATACTCTTCTTGAGCTTCACAACAGAGCCAAGAATGTGGCCTTGGGGACACGCTTTCTGGGTTTGCACGTATCTGTCATTTCCTAGTCATGGGATATAGGGCCAGTGACTAGTGTCCCTGTGCCTCAGCCACCTCATCTCGAAAAAGCTGGTAATATCCCTGTGAGCATTCTGCAGATTCTGTGAAGAGTACTTAGAAGTGTCTGGCTCTTAAATATTAGATATTGTTTTTTTTGGTTGATTCTATTGGTCTTATTGTTGGCCTCCAGGACTTGGATTAAATGAACTGTTGGAAACCCTGGCTGATGTCGATAAATCTATTTCTTGTTTTGAACAGAATCTCAGCCCCCTGTGACGAATTTGAGTGTTTCTGTGGAAAACCTCTGCACTGTGGTTTGGACGTGGAATCCTCCTGAGGGAGCCAGCCCGAATTGTAGTCTGTGGTATTTTAGTCATTTCAGCAACAAACAGGATAAGGTAAACTTTCTGGAATGTATAGCATTGATGATATAAAGTGAACACTTGGATTGGAACCAAGAGTACAACAAATTCTAATGTTACTTCAAAGCAGGGATTTTATTATCACTTGTGTCCAAATTTTAACTGGGAAAATTACAGAAAGGCTGTTGACAAAGTGAAACATTTGAAAATCTTTGCTCACTTTATGATAATTATCCAATTGAGATGGCTCTGAGAAGAAATACTTGATATCTTTATCTAGTAGGCACTCGATAATTATGCTAAAGTTGGTTCTGATGTTCCTGCCAATACCTTGTATTGACAGAATTCTTTTTAGTTTCCCAGGGAATTTTCACATGTACTCTTTTTTTTAAAGAGTCATTTTATTTATTTATGCATACAAGAGTTGGGGTGCAGGCCAGAGGTGCGGGAGGTGGGATGAGAGGATTCACCAGAGACAGAGTGGGGAGCAAAACAGGCGGATCTACTGAAATACACTGCTAAGGGAAGCAGCGGGCAAGATAGGAGAGGTCTGCTGTCCCATGTGGGTAGCTCTTTGGCAGGGGATCAAACTCATGCTGCAGTGGCTGGGGATAGCTTCACAGTGCTGACACTTAACCCCTTGTGCCTCCAGGGAGGCCCTTCACATGTACTCTTTTGCTAATCACATGCACAAATAGATATGTAAGGATTATGTGATGCACAAGTAAATGGCCACACAGAACATGAAAATACAAGATGTCTGTGGTAGGTGGGGTTGACTAAGTCTCCTGATGTCTGAGGAAAAATGAGGGAAATTTTCATTTTTTTCAGTAAGATGTAGTCAAGTTAATATTTGTTAACAGGATTATGTAGTTTTGGGTTCTTTGTGATAATCTTATTCAATGGAATTTTCTCTTGGGCCTCATTGGCTTGTAAACCCTTCTAATTGACGTGTTCTTCAAAGCATCAGATCAAAACTGTTTTATATCTTTTTACCTTCTTTAATTGTGTATGTGTGTGTGAGGGGGCGAGGTGGGGATGCTCAGGGATGAATCTGCCCAGTATTTTGAGGAGGCCAGATGAGAAGTTGTTATTAGTGACAATGAGTTGGATTCATGAATTGTGAAATCACTGTGTTCAAGCAGCTTTGGTGGCTGGAAGAGTCAGGAGAATTAGGTTCTAGTTGGTGTACCACTCTTAGCTCCTTCAGTGGCCTGTGTAAGTCACCTGACATCTCTGAACCTTAGTTTTCTCAGCATATGGAGTGAGGCTCTACTTACTTCCCTGGCTTGCTGGGACATGGAAATATGTGAAAACTGAATAAAGTGAGAGTGGAACAGACTCTTTCACTACAGGGAAAATTTGCTAATCTGCCTCCTTCACCCCTTTCCTGTTGAGGTATTTATTACAGTTTAGGTGTTAATTGATAAAAAAAATTGAGGCAAGTCAGGAGTATTTGAATTAGAAAAGAGGTCCTCTAAATGCGGAAACTTGTAATACTTCTAGCAGTGAAACAAGAGTAGAGGGTTCCCCTTTTCACTCTGTTGGCTTCCTCTTGTGCCAAAGGAGTGGCCTGAGGCATTTGGCAAATTTTGTTGGTTTGTTCACCCTTGACAAATTCTGGAAAATTCCGTAAGTGCTTTGCCTAAGTACATCACCCAAATACAGTCTTGAGTCTTAAAGAACTTATGGCCAGGACCAACCACATATATACCTTATAGCCCAGGTGTGGAGTCAGCTCTACTGGCTAGGTTTGTGTAAGTATACTTGTAGGATGGTCACACAGTGATGAAATAGCCTAACGACGAATTTCTCAGAGTATAGCTCTGTGCTTAAGGGATGCAAGACTTGTATCTAATTGAAACCGTGAGGAGCTCACCTTTTTTTCTAATAAGGCCCTTTTCATTAGCCTGTCAGCCATGCTCAAAGATCAGTCAGGCAGATATTGTGAGATGCTAGCTTCAAAATGAGGCTAATTCCTTGGTATACTTATAGAAGTTTAGACTTAGAACTAAATTTAGGAGGCAGTGGCATCAGAATTGGGTTTGAAATTTTCTCTCCTTCCCTTTTTAAGCGGTGTGAACTTGGACAAGTTGCCTAACCTTGCTGAACCTACTTTCCTGTTTGTAAAATGCTGGGGGGAAGGGCCTAATAATCCTACCTACTTCATACCAATGGAGATGGTGTTCCTAATGCACCTGGCACAGAGTTACTTTCAGTAGCTTTTACCCTTTACTATTATTACTCTCATTCAGTTGAACCATATGAAATGGTCGCTTTTATACGTCCTGTTATGTGGTTCAACCTAATATTATCATTTAATCTTGTTCCCACTGCTTTGCCCCAGAAGAGGCTGTGTGGAAACCATAAAGGATGAGCTTTTCCTCAGATGCCTCTTTTAGTCCAGCCGTTTGACATCTTTGATGACTCTCAGTCCTGCAGTTGTGATCAACATGGATTATTCCTCTCAATCAGAAGAGGAGATTTTGACCGTTATAATCCTGAGGTTTCTGATGAGTAGCAGGAGTGATTCCCTTTCCTCTTTCTGTCCTTTCCATGTAGCATTAACATCATCAAACAAAACTGGGTATATTTTACAAAGCATCTTGGAAGCAGTGGCTTTATGACAGTTTGTACATAGTGGGGGACTTATGTGGATGTTTAAAGGTCCCAAGTTAGTAAATGAGAGAAACCCTTGAAGTCATTTTCAATCTTCAGATTGGAGGACCATTCAGATGAGAGACAAGGAATCATAGATGATTTTTTAAAAAGAAAAGATTAGCAGAGGTGACTGCTGCCCACGAAGGTTTTAGCAACATCTAATGATTCCCAATCTGCAAGTAGAACGATCTGGTATCAGATATTAAATATCTTTTATTACTAAGCGACAGGGAAGTCTCTCACTAGGTAAATAAATGAAACGGCCCTTTTTCCATTCTGACATCCAGAGAGACAGGAGCTGAAGTTGATTCCCCTTTCCTTCTGCAAAGGGAAGCTGAAATTTGGGAAGGTGTGATCCAGTGAAGGGAACATAGGTCCTGAGGGGGAGGGATCAGTTCAGGATGCTGGCCCTGGTTTTTGATAAATTTTTGAAGGAACCAGATTCCCTGAGGGGTGAGGATATTGTCATAAGGCAGTTACCAGTGAAATGAGTCACCGTAGCAGCAGAAAGTCACATTGGGAGAAACACACATATCTCATGTAGATTTGCTGGGAGGGATTTTGTTCCTTGTTTGATAGAGAAAGGTACATTCAACTTGGAAATCACAGACACCAATTTTTTTATATTTTTTTCTACCAATTTAATATTATTTATCTTGAACTTTGAAAAAGATTTTTAAAAATTGTCTTATTACCCCCCCCACTGTCTCTTTTCTATATTATTTTGTTATTCATGTGCTCCAAACATAAAGTTTAGATTTAGGTATTAAGGTATTTTTTCCAATTGAAAAAAATCCCATCATCATAAAAATCTTGTAATAAAATTCAGCCCTGTCACGGGAACAATATCTAATATAATAGGACAACTGGGTTTTCCCCATGATTCTAATTGTTGACATTTGATCATGCATTTCCCTCCCCTCTGGCGTCCTTGAAGGGCAAATGCAGGTTCCCAACAATTATCAAGGATCCTTGGATTCAGCACACATTCCTCTGTCCAGGGCCAATTCCTTAACTTTGCCATGAGAACATTGTAGGCGAAATGTTCTAGAGAGCCTTTTGGTGGCATAACTGGTGTGCTCTGTTCCTATAGGCAGAAACCCTATGGAAAGCCAAATGATGTGTAGATTTCTGGGCAAGGATTCAGGAATTAGTTGGGAAAATGTAAAGGGCTATGTAAAGTGGGAGGCCCCACTGAGGGCAAGCACAGCTTTGTCAGTGAGACAGAATTACTCAATATCCACGGAGCTAAATCACCCTCCGTTTTTTCCCAGAATTTTGCTTGAGGATATTGCTTTTTCTTTTCTGCCAGCACTGACCCACCAACTCCGTTCCCAGAGTGCTGTCTTGCCTAGGTCTAAGAGCTGTTCTGCTTCTATAAAGTGATATTTTTTTTTCATGACTTACCTATGGTTCCTTAATTGTTGGTTTGCTGCCTAGCCCTCCCAGGGCATGCCCTCCTGCTCAGCTGGCAGAAGGGCCCCTTAGAGTAATTAGACAGAGGTAACTCTGATGAATTTTCTCTGCGTGGCCATCAGCACGTATTTAAAAGGAAATGCTCTCTCCAACTTGAGAAACAGAAACTGTTGCAAAACAGGAAACTCCTGTTAATCAGGAGCTCTGATTCCAAGCAGCTCCATTCTTAATTCTTCCACTCTGTCACCCAGGGAAATGTTAATTTCCTAAAGAGCCCTTTAATCTCATTATTCTAAATCCTAATGATCAGATTTGTGACTAAGGTCTATATATATGTTGTCTGTAAGTTGACTTTCTATGATTCCACAGAGCTTACCTGCTTTTCAGAATCAGGGCAATGTGCCCAGTACAGATAACAACCCTTAACATTTATATGCATATGCGATAGGCAAAATGTTTAAACAGTATAAAAGCTTTTTTTTTTTAAAGATTTATTTATTTATTTATACAAGAACCGGGGTACAGGCCAGATGCACGGGAGGGTGAGAGGATTCATCAGAGACAGAGCGGGGAGCAGAACAGGCAGACTGATGAAATACACTGTTGAGGGGAGCAGCAGGCGTGACAGGTGATATCTGCCGTGCCATGTGGGACCCTCGCTGGCTGGCCAGGATTGAACCTGCGCTGCAGAGGCTGTGGACAGCTTCACAGTGCGGTGTTCAACTGCCTGCACCTCTAGGGGAGGCCCTACAAAAGCTATTTAATGAGAAATCTTTCTTTGGCCCACAGCCCGACCCCCCTATCTTTCCTCCTTTTCCTCAGAGATGACCTGGGTTACTGGATGCTTAAAGCAGTCCTTTTTACTTTGATCTTGATGGTATACTGCATCTACTTGGAGTTGAATTGTGCTCATCTTACTCCGTTTCACTTAAAATTGCTTTTAGGTAGTTGATGTATTACTATGATAGGTTTATAGGTCAAAGACATTTAAATGTGGGAAATTGTCTTTTACTTATACTGGCATTTTCCCCAGTGACAGTGCTGACAATTGGCGCAGGATAATTCTCTGAGGCGGGGAGGGAAGGCTGTCCTGTGTGTTGTAGGATGTTTAGCAGCAGGCTTGGCTTCTCCCCACAAGATGCCAGTAGTAAGTAGCCTCTTCCCAAGTTATCACAACCTAAGGGGATCCTAGACAATACCAAATATCTCCAGAATTGGGGTTGCACAGTCACCCCATGTTCAGAATCACTGATCTATACCATTTGAGAACTTTCTATTTTTTCCCCACATTTGGGCATGCTAATGTTTTATTACGCAAGCGTTTTTTATTACTCAACGTGTTTGCTACAGCAATGCTTTTTAAATTCCTACGCATAGAAAATTGCTCCAGAAACTCGTCGTTTGAAAGAAGTGGCCCTGAATGAAAGGATATGTCTGCACGTGGGGACCCAGTGTAGCACCAATGAAAGTGAGAAGCCTAGCATCTTGAAGGAAAAGTGCACCCCAGCTCCTGAAGGTAACTACAGAAAGCACTCTCTCTTGGTATTTAGAGAATAAATTCAATTTATGGATCTGCTTATGATTAGTATGCATTAATTCATTCAGTTCTCAAACACTTGCTGAATCTAATAAGTGCCAAGAAGTACTGGCAACACAGTATGAGGGTGTCCCTGCCTTCAAGGTATACACAGACAACCTGAATAATGATGCTTCATTGTTATGCTATAGCACTTAAGGATTTGCAAAATGATGCACATAAAGGCACAAATCTCCCCTAAATCCAGCCTCAGAAACTTGTGAAATGAGCAAGGCATGTATTATCACCCTTATCCATTTTATGAGTGAGTAGCTGTAGGTCTTCAGATTCCAGGTCCGATGCCTTAAAAAAAAACCCAACAAGATACTATCTTACTCATTATATAGAGAAATTAGTTTGATATACAGCTATCAAAGGGAAAATGAGCATGCCGGTTTAGCTCCAACTCAAGACAAGCCACAGGAAAAACTGCCAAGTAGGCACCTTGATCATTATCCCCCAACTCCCTTCTCACCCATCACTCCGTGTCCTTTTCTCTGATGGGCAGGAAGTAGTATGCTGTTTAAGAACAGGGCTACCAGAGCCAGATGTCCAAGTTCAGATTTCAGCTCTGCCAGCTGCTAGTTGCATGATGTTAAGCTGATCACGTAGCCCTTTCTCCTTCAGTTTCCTCATCTGTATAATGGCATGATGATTGTACCTACCTCCCAGGGTTGTTGAGATTATGCCATAGTATATGCTGGGTGCCTAGAATAGTGCCTGTCCAAGAGTAAATACTGTCTCCGTATGATCTGTTAATATCATATTGTCCCTCGGTTGGGAGTTGTTTATATTTTCACATTCATTTTGGACTTCCTTAGTCATTGCCTGTGGTTGAAATATTATGTGACCTTTAACCTCCTTCTCCAGTTAGGAACACAAGAATTAGGGTTCTCTTAGTGATAGTAAAGATTTTTTGTTTTTAGTATCAGCTGGAGAGACAGAGTTGTGAACACATTAGATTTCAGTTTTCTATCCTGGGTGCCTTCTGGATAACATTGAGTGAAGTATTAGGGGTTAGTTTTCTGGTAAATTAGCATGAAGAATCCTCACCATTCTCCATACCCCACAGTAATTGGCTAGTTTGCACTGCAAAGAGAGAAGAATCCTGAACTCTCTGCTGGATATTCTAGGTGATCCTGAGTCGGCTGTGACCGAGTTACAATGCATTTCGCACAACCTGAGCTACATGAAGTGTACTTGGCTCCCTGGAAAGAATACAAGTCCTGACACTAACTACACCCTCTCCTATTGGTGAGTATGTGCAGGAGACTTGTAGGGGAAGGACTCACTGTGATACTGTGATGGTGTTGGAAGCCTTTGGATCTAATCTAGTTTTTTTTTTTAAAAAGAGCTATTGGTTCTTTTCTGCACACCCAAAAGATGAGCAATTCGCTTTAGTGGGAGATGCATCTGCTTTTGGTGCTTACTTGCAAAAAAAAAAAAAAAAAAAAAAAAAAAACTTCTTTAAGAAATAGTTGGGAATCCACAGGATGTTGCAATAAGTGTACATGGAGACCAGAGCTTCTCCCAGTGGGAACATATAACTAGAGTGTAATATTGAAACCAGAAAGTTGACATTGGCACAATCCACTCACCTTGTCCAGATTTCACCAGTGTTACATGTACCCATGTGTGTGAGTGTATGTATGTATGTGCACTGTCTGTGCAGTTTTATCACATGTATAGATACAGAATAGTTTCATTTGAGTTGCCCTTTTATACCCATACTCACCTCCTCCCTTCTCCCTGCATTCCTCTCCTCCAACTCTAACCTCTGGCAACCACTAATCTGTTCTCCATTTCCGTAATTTTGTAATCACAAAAATGTTACTGGAATGGAATCCTATAACACAGAGCTGTTGGAGGCTATTCTTTCATTTTTTAATTTTTTTAAAGATTTATTTATTTATTTGTTTATTTATTCATTTATTCATACAAGCACTGGGTACAGTCAGAAGTGCGAGAGGGTTAGAGAATTCACCAGAGCCAGAGAGGGAGAACAGAGCAGGCAGAAGGAGTGAAGTACACTGCAGAGGGGAGCAGCAGGCAGCAGGAGAGGTCTGCAGGCCATGTGGGACCCTCCTCCAGTGGCCGAGGAGCAGCCAGGGATCGAAACGGCGCTGCAGAGGCTGCGGGCAGCTTCGCAACCCAGCGCTCAACCGCTGCGCCACCGGGGAGGCCCTGGAGGCTATCTTTTTAAACTGCACAATACACTTAAGAGCTATTCAAGTTGTTTTGTGTGTTGATAGTTGATGGTTCACTCCTTATATTGCAGAATAGTATTCCATAGTATAGATGTACCATTTTTTTGAGCCATTCATTCCTTAAAGGATATCTCAGTTGGTTGCTCTAAATATTCATTTCTCTGAAATAAATGCTCAAGAGTGCAATTGCTGGGTCATATGGCAGTTGTATATTAGTTTTAGAAAAATCTGCCAAACTCTCTTCTAGAATGACTGTACCGTTTTACATTCCCACCAGCGATGTATGAGTGATTGGTGTCTACTATGAAAAAACAATTGTGCGATGCCCAGGGTGAAAAAGTTGTTTAGCTCCCCCCAGAATAACTTATATTTGATATTTGTGTCTATTGCTACAAATTGTGTTAACTTTCTAAATTAATATTGAAATCATTTCCTTATTTCCTTTTCCTTAGAGCCTAGAATTATTTGCAACACAGTAAAGGAGACAGGACCAGGTTAAACAATTTCATTCACTAAAATTATTTAATACATATTGTGGTATAGTACTGAAAGGGTGGCAGAGATGAGAAACATATCTCTTTACTCCTAAAACTTAAAATGTAGATGGTGAGACAGCGCTGGACACAATTACCTATAGAGGCACATCCCAGAGATTTTGCAGGCTCGAGTCCTAGCCACCATGATAAAGTGAATGTTGCAGTAAAGCAAGTCACGTGACTTGCTTGGTTTCCTAGTGCATGTGAAAGTTATGTTTGTGTTAGCATGTAGTCTATTAAGTGTTCAATGGCTTTATGTATAAAAAATAATATATACCTGAATTTTACGTAACAACACAATTTCACTTTAATAAAAAATTAAAATAAAACAGAATCATAGATTTAAAAAACAGTGTACATACATGACTTATTTAAATGTGACGTAAAGACACGAAATGAGCTCTTGCTATTGCAAAATTGGCACTGATAGGCTTGCTTGATGCAGGGTTGCTGCAAACCTTCAATTTGTCAAAAATGTAATATCTACAAAACACAATAAAGCAAGGTGCAATAAAGTGAGGTGTGCCTGGATAAATATAAGAGCATGATGAGGCTTCCAAATTATAGACAGACTCTTGTGAGAAGCTAGGAGGAAGCTGGGAGAGGTGGCAGGGGGAGGGCTGCACAGATGTGGATATTTCTTAGGCACTGGCCTCTGGGAAAGCAAGTGCTGAGGAACAGGGCTATTTAGTCAGTGATACCAGGGTGGGGAAGTAGGAGGTCTAGCATAGGCAGTCTGCTCTCCATGAGACCTTGTCATCCTTTCTGTCTTTAATTGAAATGGTTTCTGAGAAAATGGGGTGTGGAAGGCCATGTCCCGAACTCTGAAGCTACAAGATAAACATGGATTGTCCATCTTGCCTGATGGCCTGATGAAAGTAGTTTTGGTATATTTAAACACTCATGGCTCTGTAGGGGAATAGACTGCAAAAATCATGTAACTTTTTTTTTTAAAGATTTATTTATTTATGCATACAAGAGCTGGCATACAGGCCAGAGGTGTGGAGGGTGAGAGGATTCACCAGAGACAGAGTGGGGAACAGAACAGGCAGACTGACTGAAATACACTGCTGAGGGGAGCAGCGGGGGAGTCAGGAGAGGTCTGCTGCACCACGTGGGTAGCTCCTGGGCCAGGGATCGAACTCTTGCTGCAGTGGCTGTGGATAGCTTCATAGGTTGCGTCTTAACCCCTTATGCCACCAGGGTGGTCCATGTGACTTTTTGAACAAAAATCTCCAAAGCTACCTCAGGTTCACATCCACTCTCTGTCCCTGTTCCACAGAACGCTGCCTGCAAAACTGAGACGTGCTGCAGGTGAAGCCACATGGCCCTTAAATTGTGGTTCAATCTCAGGGAGGGTTTTTTCTGATAGAAATAATTCTCTTTCGAAGTTTTATCATTTCACTTGCCTCCTTGTGCCGCTTGACTCTCCTTGACTCTCCTTGACTGAAAACCCTTGGGTGGCTCCCTGGTGGCTTTGGGATAAAGCCCAAAGTCCTCAGCGTGACAGACAAATCCATTTATGACCTGGCATCTGCCAGTTTTTCAAACATCAGTCTCCTCTCCCTCCATGTTTCTCTACCCCTCTTGCATCCTATGGTCTATCCCAACCTGAACTGCTTTCAGTTCCTCAAACTGACTCTTCAAACACTCTGAGTAGTGAAATTAGCCACAGCCAAGCAGAATAGTGAAAGCTATCTGTGTCTCCTCACACCCCCTGCTTCCCCTTTCACCTGGATGCCTCTTAGTTGCCTTCTTATCTCAGCTTAGATCACTCTTCAGGGAGCCTTCCTTGGCCTCTCACATCTCTCAAGATTCGTGCCCGGCAGTGTCGTCCTATAGCACCTTGCACTTTCCCATGTCGTTGGTAGTACTTAGTAAGTTGTGTTGTCATTTCCTGTTTGCTAGTGATAGCCTCCCCAGATGGCCCTCTCCCTTGAGAACAGAACTGTGTCTTGCTTCCCCTAGTGCCAGACTCAAGGTAGGTGCTCCAGAAATCACATTGGAGTGTTTGGTAGATCCCAAGCTAGAGAACATTTGGAACTTGGGGTGAGTGACAACTTACGATGTGTAAACAACTGAGAAGGGATAGAATTTGGGGATAAGAGAGGACTGAGTAGCTCTGACTCCCCAAAGAACAGCTATCGAAGCTAGAGGAGATGTTACTAGAGACTTTTCAGATGTCTTTCAGGCAGGTAGCCCCCCTCTGTTAAGTTTGTTGTTCTCACTCCTTACTGGTAAATCACAAGGAAAGCCTTTAAAGAGTATGTGTGCATGAAAGGGCAGGGAAAGAAGGGAAGAAGTCTTAAAACTACATCTTATCCCATGGCTGAGTGTGCAGGAAAGGCACCCAAATGTAGGAATCAGGGTGGCCTAGTCCTCAGTGTTCTTATAAGACAAAAATAGGGAAGTGCTTGAGGTGTCAGTCATTGCAGACCATGTTGTAGTGCATGTTGCAAAAGGAGCGCCCCTGCTGGGTGATGGAATTACAAAAACCCAATTTGTACAGCATTCCTTGTCTTCTGGCTGAAGTAATCCTCTTCCAGGTTGATACAGAGTCTTTGCAGACGGTGCTTGGGTTGGCTTTCAGCCCTCAGTTGACACTTTTGTGCAGAGCACAGTCTATAACTATTGGGGGTAACTCAAGAATCCATCCCCAGAGTGGGGCTTCACAGGCTCCTGAGTTGGGGTGGGGGGACAGGTATCAGGGACACTTCTTCTTGTCATTGGCATTCCCGGAGCTGGTCATCGCCAGCTTGGGCTCTTCCTGCAGTATAGCACTGTCCCATCCAGGAGCCACTATTTACATTTTAATTTCTATGAATTCAAATTAAGTCAGATGAAAACTTCAGTTGCTCATTCTTACTAGCCAAGTTCCCACATGGGCTAAGTGGCCAGTGGCTCCGGAATGGGACAGCACAGATATTGAACATTTCTCTAACCGCAGAAAGTTTGGGAATATATTCTGTATCTCTGCCCTCACTGATCTACAGCTGATTCTATTTTGGAGCTGCATGGCCTGGGCTCACGGCTTGGTTCTCTTCCCTACCAGCAGTGTGATTTGGGCCAAGGCTCTGTTCTCTCAGTCTCAGTTTTGTAATCTGTAAAGTAAGAAGCAATAATAGTGCCTACTTCTCAAGGGTGTGGTGAGAACTATTATTGTATGAAAAGTGTTTGGTCTTGGACCTAACTGCTAACATGCAGAGAAGGGGCAGCCCTAATGCATAATAACTGTATAGTAGTGCCTGCCTCACCTGGTATCTGAGGTTTCGCTTTCCGAATTTTCAGTTGCCCGGGTCAACCGTGATCTAAAAATAATACTTACAATAAAATATTTTGAGAGAGAGAGAGACACCACACTTACATCTATTTGATTATTAGTTATCATTGTTAATATCTTACTTGCCTCATGTATACATTAGACTTTATCATAGGTATGCATGTTTAGGGAAAAGCAGTATATATAGGATTCTCTACTGTCTGCAGCTTCAGTCCTCCACTGGGGCCTTGGAACATATTCCCTGTGAATAAGGAAGGGCTATTATATATATTTTCTTCTTCTTACTTATCCCTACTCCTTTGCACATGTAGCCAGTGCACATTACTGGCCTCTTCCCCCACCTCAAAGAATCTGCACCTAACCTGTGCCTCTTCCCTCCCTGCTCTCCCCTAGATAGAGCCTTTCCAATCAAAACCACAAAGTGCTGAGGATCAAGCACTGGGAATTGGTTTCAGAACCAGTTTCCATCACATCAAATGGTTTCCCTAATCCCCAATCAGAAAATGGTCATTTTGAAGCCCCAGGACAGTGTCCTGTGGGACTCATGGGCTTTGAAATGAGCCTGACTTTAATAACTACAGACTAGCCGTGCCAAAGAATTCCAGGGAATTTTCTTACCACATGAATCATCTTCAGAGTTGAGGGAATAGTCTTTAATTTGTCCATTTCCTCCTTGTGTTTGCAATGTGATTCTGTGGAGGAATTCAGCATGGACTTTTAACAACAGCACCTGGAACGCCTTCTATTTAGTCCTTCTCTAATCTTTCACAAAAAGTCTGAAAAAATGTTGTCTCTTCAAAACCCATATTTACCTTGTTATTCTTTCATTTAAATGACAACAAATTTTAAAAAATTCATAACTGGGGTCCATGAGAATATATGAAATAGGCTGGAACAAAGATGAAAAAGAAATCTCCAAAATTGCCCCCTGGAGGAATTCCTTTCATTATTTGAAAAAAAAACTAATTTCCACCTAGTTTTCCTTTCTTATGTAACAAGAACTTCACAAGTTTCTTCAGTTTCTGTCTGTGGGTGGAAAACATTCTAAGCCTTCTGATCTAAAAATTAGTTAGGGCAGCAAGTTAGTTTTTATTTCTTATTATATTTTTTAAAAGATTTATTTATTTATGCATACAAGAACTGGGGTGTAAGCCAGAGGTGTGGGTGGTGAGAGGATTCCCTGGAGAGAGTGGGGAACAGAACAGGCAGATGTACTGAAATACACTGCTGAGGGGAGTGGCGGGCGAGGCAGGAGAGGTCTGCTGCGCCATGTGGGTCACCTCCCTGGCCGGGCATCAAACTCGTGCTGCAGTGGCTGGCAGTAGCTTGATAATGCTGTCTTTAACCACTGTGCCACCAGGGAGGCCTAAGTTAGTTTAGTTTTTTTTTTTAAAGATTTATTTATTTTTACACAAGAGCTTGGGTACAGGTCAGAGATGCAGGGGGTGAGAGGATTCACCAGAGACAGAGCGGGGAACGGAACAGGCAGACGGACCAAAGACACTGCTGAGGGGAGCAGTGGGCGAGGCAGGAGAGGTCTGCTGTGCCATGTGGGAATCTCCCCGGCCGGCTGGGAATAGAACCGGCGCTGCAGAGGCTGTGGACAGCTTCACAGCGCTGCACTCAACCCACTGTGCCACCAGGGAGGCCCCTAAGTTAGTTTTTAAAAGACTGTTTTCACTCATGAGCCACAAGGGTGACCACTAAGAGAAGAACCTTAAGTACTATCTCTTAAGGGAGAAGAGTATTTTCTATATGGAAACATTTCCTTGTAAAGTCTTGAGAGAAGTAAATGCATTAGATCTGAGTTTTTTTTTTTTTTAAGACTACATACATAATATCCAAAAAGATTAGGTTACAAGGCAAATGGAAGGGAGAAGACATTTGTAAAGACACAAGTGGGTAGAAAGAGCTGCCAGACTATATGTTTTAAAGAGGCATTTTACGTTTACAACAAAATTGAGAGGAACGTACAGAGATTTCCCCTGAACCCTCTGTCCCCACACATAGAAGGCCTTGCCTGTGATCAACACCTTCCACCTGAGTGGTGCATTTGTTACCAAGGAGAAACCTAGATTGACACGTCAAAATCACCCAACGTCCATAGTTTCCCTGAGGGCTCACTCTTGGTGTTGTATATCCTAATTCAAAGGGTTTGGACAAATCATAGACAGTGTTGTCACGTCCCTAAAAATCCTCTCTGCTCTGCCTATTCATCTCTCCCTTCACCACCCCTGACAGCCACTGAGCTCCACTTTCTCCATAGTTTTGCTTCCTCCAGAATATCATATAGCTGGAATCATACAGCACATAGCCTTTCCAAATGGGCACCTTTCACTAGTAACATGTATTTAAGATTCCACCGTGGTTTTTTGAGGCTTGAAAGCCCATTTATTTTTATTTTTTATTTTTTTAAAGATTTATTTATTTATACAAGAGCTGGGGTACAGGCCAGAGGCGTGGGAGGGTAAGAGAATCCACCAGAGACAGAGCAGGGAGCAGACAGGCAGAAGGATCGAAATATACTGTTGAGGGGAGTGGCGGGCGAGACAGGAGAGGTCTGCCGCACCATGTGGGAATCTCCCTGGCCTGTCAGGAATCGAACCGGTGCCGTGGAGGCTGCAGACAGCTTCACAGGGCTGTGTTCAACCTGCTGCACCACCGGGGAGGCCCCCCATTTATTTTTAGGGCTAAATAATATTCTGTTGTCAGGATGTGCCACAGTTTATTCATTAGTTCACTTTCTGAAGGACATCTTGGTTGCTTTCAAGTCTTGGCAATTATGAATAAAGAATAAAGCTGCTATAAATATTTGTGTGCAGGTGTTTGTGTGGACATGTTTTCAGCTCCTTTGGGTAAATACCAAGGAGAAAGATTGCTGGATAATGTTTGCTTTTGCAAGAAATTGCCAAACTATCTTCCAAAGTGATTGTATCATTTGGCATTCCCACCAGCAATGAATGAGAGTTCCTGTTGTTCTGCGTCCTTGCCAGCATTTGGTGTTGTCAGTGTTCTGGAGTTTGGCCATCCTATTAGGTGTGTAGTAGTATCTTCTTGTTTTAATTTGCATTTCCCTGATGACATCTGATGTGGAGCATCCTTTCCCATGTTTATTTTCCAGCTGCATATCTTTGGTGAAGTGTCTTTGACTTATTTTTTAGTTGGGTTATTTTTTTTTTCTTACTGTAGAGTTTTAAGAGTTTTTATATATTTTAGCTAGTAGTCTTTTATCAGATGTCTTTCACAAATATGTTCTCCCAGTCTATGACTTTTTCTCTTTCTCTTGACATTGACTTTCGCAGACTGTTTTTAATTTTAATGAAGTCTGTGTTATCAATTTTTTCTTTCATGGATTGTGCCTTTGTATGTAAAAAATCATCACCACCATCCCCAAGATCATCTAAGTTATCTTTAAGGAGTCCTTTAGTTTTGATTTTACATCTAATATTTTAGTTTAGTTTGGTGAAGATTATTACTTCTGTGAGTAGCTTCATTTTTTCATGTGGATGTCCAATTGTTCTAGGACCATTTGTGGAAAGGCTGTCTTTGTTTGCTTCATTGAATTGCCTGTGCTCCTTTGTCAAAAGTCCATTGACTGACTTATGGGAATGGATCTGAATTTTAAAAAAACCCAATTTGCAGCAGAATCCCCCTTGAGTTGCTATCAAAATGCTG